GAAGCCTTCAAGATTCCTTGATAAAATGTGGGCACCCTGCCTTTGATTTCCACCACACTTGCCTCTCAGGGCCTGAGCGGAGTCTTCAGGTAAGTTGTGAGTAGGATTCTAGACACAAAACTCTGTGTCCCTTCCCTGTGCTACAACTGACGGTTAAGCAATGGCAAGCTATTACGTCATTCACGCCTGCATGAGGGAAGTCCATACCTCACTGGGTTAGGCACAATCTACTCTGAGGGAGAAATGTCATCATACGCACCCTCCTTATTCCTTCTGTGACAGGGATTCACTATGCAGGGCTGGCCTTGAACTTATGACCCTTCTGCCTCCACAGTGCTGGGATTCCAGGTATTTTTTTTAAAAAATGTTTTTTTTTTCTTTTTCTTTTTTGTGGTACTGCAGAGCGTTAAATTGAACAATTCATAAAAACCAGAAGTGAACTGTGTAACACCTCAAACATATATTCTCAGTTTAAATCTGTTCCACCATTGAAGTACATCCGGGTGAACAGCCAGCTGATACAGTGCCTGATCGGACTTGGGAGCTCCCGCATGGACGTGTCCTGAGGTTGGCTTCCTAAACGCGCTTTGAAGACGGTCCAGCGTGGATCTGCTCTCTGCTCACACGGATGTCCCTTAGACACGCATGTTTACTGCACCAGCATGGAACATTTGGCTTATTATAGCCACAGCCCTAAAAACCCGGCATGATGGTTTCCAAAAACGGAATGACATTTGGACGGCGTTTGTCCGGAGCTTTCTGTAAACTTCGCAAATCCCCCCCAGCACCCGCTGGCGGCCCCGAGCAGCCGCGTGTGACCCTCGGGGGGCCCCAGGCGCCGGAGCCCCGCTCGCCAGACGAGCCTTTGACTTTATTTGGTGCAGCACGCGTAGCCCCGGCCTGCGCGCGCATTCCTGCGGGCGCCAACTCACGCGCGGGACGCTAATTTTAGCGCGGCAGCTGGCGCGCAGGGCGCCGCCCGTGCGGAGGGGCGGGGCCTGTGGAGCGGGGCGGGGCCTGCCGAGTGGGGAAGCGGTCCGTGGACTGGGGGGGGAGGGGAGGGTGGTTGCGGAGTGGGGCGGGGCGGAGCGGGGGACAAAGTAGGGGTTCGTGGAGCAGGCACACAGTGGGGCAGGGCAGGACCGGGCACGCAGGGGCCAGGCACACCAGAGCTTTTCCTTTTTCCCAGCGACCTCCAGACTCCACGTGCTCAGCTGTGGTCCCGGGTCAGTTAGGGAGTGGGAGACCTCCACGCGGCGAGTTCAGTTCCGCGTGTTCCTCGTGGGCCTGACCCCGTTCTTTTTGTAAGAGTGACTAGGGCTGGCCGGCTTCCTGGAGGCTTCCTGGTTTAAAACAAAAACAAAAACAAAAAACAAAACCCCGAGCCCTCAAAACTGCCACGCAAAGTTAAAAAGGGAAAAGGAAAAGCCCCAGCCTGACCCCGCCCCGTGCGACCCGGGCTCCGCGATTGTGCGCAGACGCGGCAGACCGAAGCAGCCGCTTTGATGCTCCGCCAAAAGCATGGCCCTTGTAGGCGGCACAATGCATGCATTGTGCGCATGCACGTCTGACTCTGTTCCTAGGTCAGAAAGCTGCTGTGGCTTGGTATACAAATGATAGGACACTCCGTTCTCTCGTGTGGGGCAGTTAGCCTCAACTCTACTTGCCATACTCCTGGTAGGAAGAGAGCCACGGTACCCTTGGCCCAGAGAAGGGGCTTTTCCACCGGTGGCTTTGACCCTAACCTCACAAGTGGATCTAAATGGGGCTGTAGCTTGAGGTGCCTGCTTGGGGGTGTTTAGGAATGGTGGCAGACACCCATATGGTGCTTATTAGGAGAACAGTGTCTCTAACGACTGTGACCCGCCTGTGAAATTCTGATTTCAGTTGTATATGGGGTACAATAAATCTTTATCTTTTATCGCCCCAAAGGCTAATTGAATTGCTGTTGGCAGCACAAATAACAAAATGGGGTATACAGGTTCCAGTCCGGGTGGAGCTCTCCCCCACCCCCCACCCCAGCAGCCTTTCCCCGGTAGCAACCCAATCCAAGATGGCTATAAAGTGCTAACTCAGGTGGATCCCGGCAATCCTTACATGTTTTCTGCAGATCTCTTGATAGCATACCTGAAAAATCCTAACGTAAAAGAACATAATTTGTAACTCACTTAAAAAAATAAAACAGAAAAAAAAAACCCATACACTAAGATAAATCGGGACCCTTAGCTGTGCTGAAAATGCTGTTTCTGCTTTGTTTTCTGAAGACACAGCCACATAAGTACAGTTCAGAAGACACTGTGCTGCCGCAGGAAAGATGTTTTCTAAGTGGCAGAGAAATCTGCAGTGACCTAAATATTTGCTAAGGTTGTTTTTACCTACATGCACACTGAACAAAATTTGACTCATCCGTGCCCAGTACCTGTTCCCTGGTGAGCATCTGAACGGTTAGCTGGTGCTGATGACTTCCTTAGAATTACTAATTGCTAAGTAAGAGTGGTTAAGGGGTGAGACCTCCAGATTATGTAACAAGTTATTTGGCCCAAAATGTACACTATATTTAGAAATATTCAAATGTGGCGGTATGACTCTATACAGGGTGTTTTAGCTTGTCGTGGAGGATATGCTGTGTGTGTTTTACCATCTGAGTTCTGTAGCCCCATTCAAAGGCCAATCCGTACCTGGTGCTCTGAATTCTCACTGGGAATTCTGTCATCTTGGTCTCTGGATCTAATCTAATGTGGGAGGGAGGCATCTCCGATGATTGTGGGATAGTCTAACTCCCACTGGAGGCAAGCTGTTTGATTTTGAGGTGGCGAGTTATAAAGGGCCAGCCTATGATTTTCCCAGAATAATAATATTATTATTAATAATAATTAATAATAATAATAATGAAGGTGGTATCATAGAAGAAACTTATACCATGTCAGTAGTTATTGGGTTTTTTTTTTTTCATTCAAAATAAAAACACTTTTTAACCAGGTGTGGTATCACATGCCATTAATGCCAGAGTTCAGAAGGAGAGGGAGGCAGATCTTTTTTGAGTCGAGGCCAGCCTGATCTACAGCAAGTTCCAGGGCTACACAATGGGACTGTCTTTAGAGAACAGCCTTTATGATACCATGTCTAAATAATTCAGTATCATTATCTGTCTCTAAGGTACTTTTACCCTAATACCTTTCTTGTTACGTGGACTGCTTGATATTGCACAGTCCCACTAAGAGGCATACAGTGTTGTGATTTACACACACACACACACACCTTAATAGCCTTTTTTAAAAAAGCTGTCATAAATTAAAGGGCACTGGTCTTAAATCAGGCTGACATGAGGCAGGTGACGTATTGTTGGGTTAAAAAGTTCACTGATGAGTTGTTTCTTTAGTACCATTCTTGAACCCAGGGCCTCATGCATGTTAGCCGAGTACTCTACTACCGACCTACTCCTTCAGCCCTGTACATTCTTAATACTGATCAACAGGGGGAGTGAGGTACCCCAAGTACCCATTTACCTGGGAGGTTCAGAGACATTCAGTGCTAATCCATAAACCCAGTCATTCCTAACTTCCAGTTTCTTAGCTGATAAGCTACATGTTTTATTTTTGTGGCTCAGAGGAAAGGGGGCAGGGTGGGGTGGCGGGGTGGGGTTCAGCCAGGCTGAAGATGCAGGCTGACCCCAGAAACAGGAAGGAGGGACCTACATGGTTGACAGTCTAGGAATCTTGCATTTCTGTTTGTACTCTTTAATTCTGATACTGTGGGCCTAAGCAAGCAGTAGTGCTTACGGCATTAACCACAGCCCTGGACCTAGAACCCTAGATGATGGAATGAGTATGAATTCCATTCACAGAGCGTCTGACCTTGGTCCATGACCAAGGAAGGGCATGTCTTCTAGTTTCCTATGAACAGAAGGCAAGCAGAGGAGGGTGACTTGGGACTAATGGTAGCTACCCAAACTGAACATTTTGCTCAAGGATTCCGTGAATACTCAGAAATCAGGAAGATGGGCACTTCACTCTTCAAATAAAATAAATCTATAAATCTTGTGCAAAAAGACTTTGTAATGAAGACTTGTCTCAGAACTGGGATTCCCAAATTCTTTTAACTCTTTCCTCCCCACATCAAGAATCTAATTAACTGAAAACACTGGGTGTAATCACTGATGTTTATCCTTGGAAGGTGTCTTGAAGATTTGTAAGTGACTTCTCCAAGAGACACTATCTTAAAAAAAAAAAAAAATCTAGCATTTTGAAGAAAAAACAAAGCTGTTTAAGCTATTTCTTGTTATTTTATTAAAAGAAAACATCACATTTACTGTTTTTTGAAAAATGCGTTCAGTGGACTAAGGGCACAGATTTAAAATACATGGGACCGCCCCCCCAAAGATGCTGCTGCTGTCATTTTTAGAACATACAGCTACTCTGTATAGAGTCTAGTCTTGCACTTCCTAAACTTCAGCCTCCTATCAGTCTTCCCAGCCACAGGTCAAGAGATCAAAACACGTGCCCTGCGGGAATCCCGTACTACGTGGAGATGGGCACCAGCTAAACACACCTGGGCCTTCACACCTAAACGAGCTTGCCCCGTGGCTTCACCTCCCACTCCATTCCACAGCTTTCCCAAATGGAGACCCCACTCCCGCCGTCCATGTACTCTCTACGGCCCAAGATGGTGGTTATCACAAAACTTTTCAAAGAGCAGATCCAGGTCGGGACAGGCAGTTCACTGTCCCCACTGTCTATCCCTTCCAACCCCCTCCTGCAGAGTGGCAGGCTCACCAGCCAGCTGAAAAACAAACAAGCGTCTCCCCGATGACCTCTGCCCAGCTCTTATCTGTGTCCCTCCCGCTGCTGCCCTTTCCCCTGGCTCCTTTCGCCCAGAGCTGCTCTGTAGTCCTTTATCTAACTCTCCTGCAAACCCCTACCCCATCCATCCATCCTTCAGCCCAGCAAGCAACATAACAGCCACCCTAAGCTTGGCTTAAAAAATTAAAAAAGGCCTTGGAATACGTTCAGTGCTCCCAATTTTATTTTTATTTAATGCTAAAAGGAAAAAAAAAAAAGTACTGTAAATCTGACAAATGACAGAACGCAGGTGATATTTCCATAGCATGGTTTTAAAATATAATGTTGATAGCTAAGATTACACTTATTTCAGTAGACATGAGTTTCATCATATATAGAAAAATTATCACCTTCAACTTAAAAAAAAAAAAGCAAAGGTTAAAAGGTGGCACACTTTCAAAACACTTGGTGGCCAGGAAAAGATATATAGAAAAGCTGTAAACCATGTGTATGTTTTCGTAACTTCAGAGTGAGGCCACATGAAAGACACTAACTATATCTGTTAAATTCTATAATTTGTTAAAGCAAAAAGGGACTGTTGACACCCCATCCCTTAGTATTCTGAGTGTTAAAGTCACGGCTGGAATAGTGTTGGGACTCTGACATCATCTATCCAGCTGTGGACAACATCCACAATGTCATCAAGGACAAGAAAAGATCAACCCAGGTCCCCAGGTGAACGGTTTTAGAGCAGGCCAGAGAAAGACTCCCCCCACCCCACCCACCCTACCCTCTCCAGGACAACACTCTGGCTACAAGTCTTCTGAAGGCCTCCCAAAGCTGGGCAGATGCACACAGGCCCTTCATCTCAAAAGTGCACCCCCCTTTAAAACAGGTCAAGATTTGCCTCCTTTGCCACTAGCACAGAGAAACCACAGGTGGCCTTTTCCGCAGCTGGACAGACTTCTCCCATTCGGCAGGATGGTTCTTTATTCATGTTTTTTGAGAGCTTATCTGTGTTGAGATTGCAAAAGATACAGACAGCCACAGCAAATTAGGTCAAATGACTAATCTAGTTGTAACATCTATGAGGTCAAATTCCAGTTTATAATAAAGTGCTTAGAAACACATTTATACTACAGACCATAAGAGCTGGGTCCTTCACAAACGTCTTTATGGGCAGGTGAAACTGACTCTGCTCTGTGTGTGTACATCCGCCTCAGAGACCAGTTGGATCTGACTCACAGTAACGACGAACTGGTCTATCGTGCAAGCCTGTCTGTAACATCACAATGACTGGTAACAAGAGCCTGGAGGATGAGGTGCACTCACAGAAAACACAACAAGAAATACTGTATTTGGTGCAGTGTCACTGGTTTTTAAGCGTTAGTAACTTGACTACTAAAGAAACCACCTTTAAAAAAAAAATGGAAAAAAAAAAAAAGATCAAACAACTAGAAATGATCCCAAGCTGGTGATAACCTATGTTTTCAAATTAAAATGGAATCTAGGCTGTGAAAAACACCACAAACCATAGCAGACTTAGAAGCCAAGACTGAGCCTACAAGGCCAAGTCATAAACACCTGCACCTCAGGGTTTTAGGGTAGTGTTCCTGTTGACATTAAACCAAAACAGCACAAAGGGGAATTAAAAAACAAAACAAAAAAAACAAAAAACCCACAAAACCCAACATCACTAAGGGGCACCCACTACTAATAACTAATGACCTGTTGTTGTTTACATTAAAAACAATCACTTCACCAATGCAAAACAGTGATCGAAAGAAATTAGTTTACAAAAGGCTTCTAAAAGTAGTTGGGAGGTGGGGCTTGCTTATGTAAAAACCCTTCATGTCTGTAGCTTTCACTAGTTTATCTCTTTTTTTTCCAGAACAGTAATATTCACTTCTTACTTCAGGCACGCACACCGAAGGAGGAAACTGCCAGGCTTCCTCCACCCACAGTGGGCCCCACCACGGAGATGCCCACAGGTCCTCGGAGCACCCAGGGCTGTAACTGCCAATGTACACACTGCGCCAGGGAGCGAGTGAGCACTCACTACAACAGGGTGTGGGGACAACAGCAATGGCCACAGGAACACGACAGGTAAATGAAAGGGACAAACCAGAACAGAACAAAACACGCAACAGAAATGAAACCAATCCCACGAGTCCACCTGGCCTGCAACAGCCATCGGAAAAGGCCCTAGAGTGTTGGGGAAGGCCGAGCGAGTGGCGCTGCAGAGCCGGGCTCTGCTGTAAAAAAACGGCAGCAAGGCCATCTTATTTGCACACCACCCTTTACAACTATTAAAACACCAGCAGGGCAACCAAGGAGCATGCAGCATGGAAATCTTACAACTGGTCACATGGGCAGAGCAAACACAAGTCAACCTGCCCTCAATAAAAACAAAAACAAAAGCCTCCCAGACACGCAATCCTGCCAACCTTTCAGCAGCACCTCTGACTATCGATATTGCAAGAACTGAACCCCAAGATTCAAACCCCATTTCCCCACCCTCCGAGAGGGCCTGCTAGGTGGGTGACACCTCTCAGGGGCATGCCCTTCTGGCAAAAGTGCCCCCTTCCACTCCCTCCCTCCCTTCTCCACCAACTGACCTCCAGCCTGAGAGAGGGGCCAGCAATGAGGAATGACAGACGGACAGTAAGGCAATCTTACAATGTCAGAAAAATGTATGTATTTGGCTTTTTTTTTCTTTTTTAAAATAAGTGCATACAAATACGGCTAGAAGCATTTGTTTGCCAAGTGCTCTTTAAAAAAAAAAAAAGAGAGAGAGAAAAGAAAAAGAAAAAAGCAGCCGAGTCACAGCCTACATAGAACAGCAACTGTCACCAGTCAAGCACAGACAGCCTAATAACGTTAACAAAAGAAGAAAATGCCTTTGAAAGTACATACCTTTTGTCGTCAAAAAAAAAAAAAAATATAGAAACACAATGTATTCAAAAAAAAATCAAAATTATACAGCCATGTTTATGAAGTCTACATTTCCCTTGTCTTGGATATATATATTTATATATATATATATATATATATGGAGATTTATATACAGTTCAAGAAGTTTGCGTTAAAGGTAACGTGGGCTTTTCTGAACGCAGAAAGTCACGAGTCTCTCTCTTTTTTCACTTTCACATCTCCGGCGAGGATGGTGGCAATCTCTCCTTGCATGAAGGCCCAGGGGACGTTGGAGCCCACCAGAGGGCACTTCTCCCCGCTCGGACAATAGACCTCTCCACTAGCGCCCTGCTGCTTAATGCTTTGTCTGGAGCAAGGGAAACAGAACTTGTGCGAAGGGACAGATGGGCACTGCACAAAGTGGGTATCCTCCAGCCGCTCGTGGCAGAGGGTGCAGCAGAGGGGGGCGCTGGCGGCCAGAGAGGAGTCTGGGAGGCTGGCGGGGTGCACCGGCTCCAGTCCTCCTGTGCTGCCGGTGGCCTGGCCCCCCACCTCTCGGGGGCCAAGCCTTCTTTGGTTCATAGAGGAGGGGGAGGGCGGGCTGCTGCTGTTCCTCCGGGTGGTGGAGTGAACCTGGGTGGCATCTTTCGAGGCGTGACTGCCTCCAGCATTGTCTGCTACTAAAATCAGGGCTGCCATGGGGGACTGGCCGTTCTGGGCCGCTTCAGGCGGTGTGGTCCGGTTGGAATGAGGAGAGGCGGTGGGGGGTGGTGGAGACACAAAAGAGGATGTAGGGGTGATGGGGATCTTGAGCCCTTCTGTGGAAGTGGACAGCCAAGGCTGAGCCTCGCCATTGATCTTAGGGGGCCCGACTTCCCCTTCCGGTTCTGGAGAAGGCTTCCTTTTCCTTGCTGTTCTTGCAACTGAATATAGAGACAGGAATGGAAGAAAAGGAAAATTAACGGAAATGTACCCAAAGAGACATTTCCCATCTCCCCCCAAAACACACCTAGCACACAAGTTCTGCATGCACCTTCTAACGCGTCCTTTGGTAAGGGGCCCTGAGCCTGCACACCACTTCCAAGAGCTGAGCCATGCGAGCCTGCCTGAAAAGGTTTCAACCCCCAACCAGAGCATGTGACTGCTAACGTCCCCGACAGGTTAAAGGGTGACTGCTGCCCTCATGCTCCCATCCAAGAATGTGCTGGGAAAGGAAAACGCCGCCGTGTCGCTGCCTATCAGCCCGCTCTGACTCATCCCTGTTGTGCTGGTTCAGCAAAGGAACCACGTTGCCACTAAGCGCTGGTTCAGCCTTAGGCCGACCAGGAAGTTGGCTGTTTGTTGTTTCTGGGCTAAAGCAAAACCGTGCATGTTAAGAGTGGCTCCCTCAGCACACACGCGTCCGCGCTGTCTCTACCTTCCACACCCTCGACCCCTTCTCCCCTCGCCCCACAGCCGCCCCTACCTGCTTTAGACCCGTTGGCCCCGTTGGCCTCGAAACCCAACAACCTGCCTGCAGTCAGGGCCGGCTCCTTCTTGAACTTGCTCTCGAAGGGCCCCGAGTGGCCGTGCTGGTGCAGCGCCAGTAGCGTGTCGCGCACCGTCTTAGGCCTGCTGGCCCAGTCCTGCTCCCCGGGCGCTCGACCCTTGCCTGCACCGTCGGCGCCGAGCTCGCTCGCCCCGGCCGCGCCGGATAAGCTGTCGGCCGGGCTCCGGTGCGCGGGCTGCGCCTTCTCCTTGCTAGGCTCCCGCGCCTCGTGCTCCGCCGCACCCGACACCGACGCCGGCCGTTTGTGGGTGCCCAGCTCCGGGGGCTGGGCGCCCAGGCCCGGCGTCCCACTCACCGCGGCCAGTGTGGCCGCCGCACGGCCACTCAGCCCCAGCGCGGCGGAGCCGTTCACCAGCGGCACCAGGGTGGGCGGCACGGCGTGTGCGCGCCGCGGGTTCGGGCTCTGGCGATTCAGCTCGGGCGGCTCCTCCAGTTTGGAGAAACCGTTGGGCACCAGGATGCCGTTCGCCGGCGTGGGCTGCGGCGCGGCCGACTGCGGGAGGCCCGCACCCGCACGCGTGCCGAAGTCGGAGGCCAGGCGCGGGGCC